CAAATTCACTCCTTCGACTTTAGCATTGTAGAGAGTCAATAGTTTCGTCCACAAGAGTAATCAAGTGATGAACAAATAGCCTGACTGAACATGCTTTCTAGAGTTGTTGCCAATTTTTGCAAAGGGCGCTTTACTTTTTGGTTTTATAAGAATTCTTGGATGTTTATTTCTTGAGTATATATAATGAGCCATTTGTATCTACGAAAAAAATATATGATGCTGGATCACACACACAAAGGAATTGAAAATATAAATTCCGTGCTGTGTCCATACCATTCATTACCAATTGGTGTAGCAGTATACCACAAAATACAAGCTACAAATATGGATATTATTATAGCTATTCTGATGTATCAAGTTTATTGACATCTGTCAATGACGATGAAGAAATTGTTACCTTATGCAAATTCCAGCCACTTAAAATATCCTTTTATGCTCCTAAATCACACTTATTAATATCAACAAAAATAATGGCGCAACAATTCTAAAGAAATACCAATTAGAATATTTTGATGTTCTAAATAATGATATTAATAAACAATAACTAATTGTACACCATCAGATCGTTTAGCAATGGATCCGTTTTTTGAAAAAGAGAAAAAAATGTTAGTATTTAATAATTAATTCTTTTAATAATTATATTATTAATAGTGGAATATTAACAGTAAAATACATTGATGTTGAACTTCTATCCAATGACTAATTTGATGTTCGTGTAATGATTATTTTCTGATTCCACGCCACCAGTTGTTTAATTATAGATCCTTTTTTTTTTTGATGTTGCAATAAACTATAATAAATTGTATAACATGCTCGAATTTTAGTACATTTAAATCATCATATCAGCCGATTTGGTTTTTTGGATCCTTTTTTCAAACCTTATATCTTATTGTGTCTCGACGTTAAACACGTTAAACATGATGTGTAAACTGGTCAATAAAATGATAATTAAACCCCCAAAACTATTTTACTATTCGATAGCCCGTCAAATCAATGACACCCACCTCAAAACCAATGGGTTTTTGCTAGTATAAAGTATTCATAACGTTATGAACATACCGTACCGGATTTTGGGGTTCAAACAAAATCAGCGCGCATGTCATAAATCATAAATGATTTTATGACAGACTAAAAAATTCGAAAATTTCAAATGAGAACAATTTTGTGTTTTAATAGCTGTTTCTAATAAAATGTTTTTTAGGTTCATGTTTCAGTGAATTTATGCATAGTAACGTGAATTTGATTATAATTCGTTGAAACTGTATAAAGTTCCACAATGCTCCTTATTATTTGAATTGAGCTAGAGTTCCTATTCGTAATACAAATTCTTATTCGAATTATCCGTTATGAATTATCTGAATTATTTGTTTTTATTCATTTGAATTATTTTCTTTTTATTCTTTATTCGTTTTATTTGTTTTTTTTTATTCAATCACCTGAATCAAGCATATTGGACACTGTAGCATAATGGACGTTTATCCTATAATATTAATTTTTAAATTGGATCGGTAACACAACATTTTATAGGGTATTCGATTTTGTGAAATAAAGAAACACCGCGTTTATTTTTCCACCGTCACCATCACCATTTCAAGAGTCACTTACAATATTTTATGAAAAAGATTCATTTTAGTCATCATCAACTAATGACAACGATTTAGTGTTATTTAAAAAGATACATTTTTGTTTGTTGACAAAATAATAGTATTAATTATGCAATGATGATTGATGACAATGGAAATTTTAATGGTGTCTGATTAAATAAAAAGCATAAAAACCAAATTGAAGTAAGTTACTTTTAAGGTGATTGATTATATTACTCATAAAAGTCAGAAATCTTTTTTTTTTGTTGAGTCCCTGATAAAGACAAAGTATGAAAGGACAGACCAATCAATTCATGAATGATTCTAAATCGTAATTATTAGTTTATTTCACCTATTAATTTTTATAAATATATTTTTTTACTTAATAAAGTTATAAAAATATAGAAAATATAAAATTAAATAATTGATTGATTACTTATTGCATACATGATTAATCATTACATATTGAATGTGTCAGAATTAAAGAAGATCTGACACATTCATTGGCATCTCATCTATTTGTGTACTGTAATATTGTTCAATATCACGTAAAATACGAACATCCTCAGAAGTGACAAAATTAATTGCAACACCTAAAATAAAAGAATATTATTTTAACCATAAACAGATTCCATTTACTTGATTAATAACAAATTGAAAAATATTCAAAAGAAGTATACCTTTTCTACCAAAACGTCCTGATCTTCCTATGCGATGAATGTAAAGTTCACGGTTAATAGGTAAATCGTAATTTATTCTATAAATATGATTGAAATTAGCAAGTTATAAAACTATATATAATAATTATTATTAGATATGTATATTTGAATTATAAACCTACACCAAGGATACTTGTTGAACATCAATACCACGTGCCCAAATATCAGTGGTAATCAAAACTCGACTTTACAAATAAATAAATAAATAAATTAGAATTTTTCAATTATTTATAAAATTTTTTAATATTTATAATTAAAGTATTTATCAAACAAACCTAGTGCCTTGACGAAATTCTTGCATGATCTGATCTCTTTCTTTTTGTGGCATCTCTCCATGCATTGAAGAGACAGTGAAGTTTGCTTCGCGCATTTTATCAGTTAACCAATCAACCTAATGCATGTAAACAATCAATTATATATATCAAATTATTGTAATGAAAGTGAATCGAAAATAAGAATCACATTATTTCTTACTTTTTTACGAGTGTTGCAGAATATTACAGCCTGAGTGATTGTTAATGTGTCATATAGGTCACACAATGTATCAAATTTCCATTCTTCTTTTTCAACAGCAACAAAGAATTGTTTAATTCCTTCTAATGTCAACTCATCACGTTTAACCAATATTCGGATAGGATCAGACATGAACTTTGTGGTCATCTCAAGTACATCATAAGGTAATGTGGCACTTAGAAGAACAACTTGGGTACCTGGTGGAAGGTAACGATAAACATCATATATTTGATCTTTAAATCCCTTATTAAGTAATTCATCTGCTTCATCCAACACAAGCATTTTGATGTGACGAGTTCTTAAATTGCGACGACGGATCATGTCAAAAACTCGACCAGGAGTACCCGATACAACATGTTGACCATAATCAAGCTTACGAATGTCTTCCCCAACACTAGTCCCACCCACACAAGCATGGCATTGTACATTCATGTAATCACCAAGTGCTAAAATTACACTTTGAATCTGAGTTGCCAATTCTCTTGTTGGTGACAAAACTAATGCTTGGGTTTCACGAATTAATGTATCAATACATTGTAGAATCGATATTGAAAATGTGGCAGTTTTTCCTGTACCAGATTGTGCTTGAGCAATAACATCACGCCCTTTTACAATTGGAACTATGGCTCTTTGTTGAATTGCTGATGGTTTCTCAAAATCTAATAAAATTTAATAAATTTAGTTCATATGCTAAATAAATAATGAAATAAATATCATCAAAAAACTTACTATATGCATAGATGCCTCTTAAAAGATCTTCCTTTAAACCAATGGAATCAAAAGTGGGTACTCTAATGAGGCAAAAAAGGAAAAACAAGAGGAGGAGGAGGAGTAAATTTTAAGTGGCAACAATAAAGGAACTTGATAATTTTGCAAGTAGCATGTTAATAATAATCAATACTTACACTTTAACATCTTCACTGGTTTCAAAAACTAGTTTTTCATCTGCTTTACGGTCAAACTAAAGATAAAACGAAAATTTGATTAAAAGAAAATCATTTTTAATTTCGATTGTTAGACATTTTTTAATAAAAGATAATTAATATATACCGCCGCCATTTTGTTTAAAAAATAAAAAACAAAAAAAATTTATATGGATGCAGATCCTTCACAATTGATTCATCAATACTAAACCTTTTACATAAACTGTTGTAACTCATCAATACAGATGAGATTTTTTTCTGAAAAATGAAATGAGCTTGCAGAATATGCATCTACAACGTAAAAGTGCCATGTTAACCTACTTTCAACAATTTTCGTCATAAATTCTATATGCCTACTAGTGCAAATTTAAAATTTCATAATAAACCAAAAAAACAGCGTTATTACGTTATACACAAGGTCCCTAGAAATTGAAAATATTTTCTAAAGTTATAAATGTTTTAAGATTCCGATTGTTAAAATTAAAGAAAAATCGCTTTTAATAAACTGTTATAACTCATCATACAGATGTGATTTTTTATTCTGAAAAATATTTTGAATTTGCAGAACATGTTTCTGCAACGTAACAGAGTCATATTTATCAACATTGATATACCTTCTTCATATTGAAAATGTGAAAATGCAATTTTCATGTAAAAAAAGAGTAAATTATAAAATACTTACTAGTCGATTTGTACTTATATACCAATGGATGATGGCAATTTTGAAATTAAATTTATAAAATCCAAATTTTCTCCACTAGCTTTTGGTTGTCCACTTAATAATTAAAGAAGCTCGTTTCGGGCCAGCTTGCAAGCCAAATAACTTATTGACAATTTATTCAACTTATACGAGCTTATTATATTACGTCATTATTAGTAGAAATCATAGAATATGAAGAAAATGAAAGAAAAGGTACTATGAGAAGAAAGAAGAGGTTGGGTGTTGGGAGAATTAGAGACTCTATTTTGAATATTAAGAGAATTATGAGAATATTATTTAAAAATTATTTTGCCAAAAAAATTTACAAAATACTGTACAATGCCCAAAATTATGGCTAATCTAGACCATCATCACTAATTCGGAGGAATTTCTCTATACATATGTAAACTCGATAAGTCGGTCATGTGGGGGTGAGCTCATATGGCCAACTTATCGAGTAAACCGACTTATCGAATTAAATTACTTAAATATTAAGAAAATGGGGTGGGCTCACATGGCCGACTTATCGAGTGACCGATTTATCGAGTTTACAATATTAATATGTATTATAAGGGAGGGATTACAACTGGTGAGAAAATCAGACCATGTATACGTGTAACATAATTTTGCAGGGACCGTTACTCATTGTTTTAAATTCAAAAAAATCGTGTAAGCTTCACATTTCATATCAGCCGATTTGGTTTTTTGGGCCTTTTTTCAAACCTTATGTCTTATTGTGTCTCGATGTTAAACACGAGTATTTTTAATGTGTAAACTGGTCGGTAGAATGATAATTACCCTAAAACAAATTATTTGCTCCGCTAAAAAAACTAATTTACTATCCATCAACCCGTCAAACCAATGGCCCCACCTCAAAACCAATGGGTTTTTGCTATATAGTATAAAGTATTCATAACGTTATGATCATACCGTACTGGATTTTGGGGTTCAAACAAAATCAGCGCATATGTTATTAGCCATGTGCCAAAAAAATAACTAACATGTGATCATTGGTGCGAAATTTGGTTGGTTGAATTAAAAGTCAAATTTTCTATATTTTAATATTTTATAATAATAATTCAATCAACAATGGGAATTTTGAATGGAACAAATAGTTTAGAAAATCTTTTTATCAAGGACGATGGAGTAGCAACAGAAACTTCAATTGCTCAGGTAAATATTGAATTATTTATTTAGTGATAATGTTATGCGAGAAGGTTCAATCTAAAACATTTTATTTTTTCTTAGTCAAAAACTGAAGCATCTGTGTATCATATTTATAAAGCTGCGCAAGAAACAAATCTTTTAAAAACGTACTTAAACATTAAAAAATATATATTTAATTTGTTATTTAACTTTAATTAATAACTTTGATTAATCAAAATTATTCTGGTGCGAAAAGCATTAAATTAAATAGAGAGGAACATATCAATTATGTTTTAAAAGGTCTCAAAGGCCTCGAGAAATATTTTGTTGGCTTAGATGCAAGTAAACCATGGTTATGTTATTGGATGCTTCATTCGTTGGATTTGCTAGGACATAAAATTGATAAAAATCTTATTAAAGGGTAACTAATTCTATTACTTATTATTATTACGAAATTTTTTTTTTATATTTTATGAACTTATTTTTGTATTTTTTATTATATAATTATCATTTCAGAGGTATTTCAACTATTAGTAAATTACAAAATCCAACTGGAGGTTTTGCTGGTGGAATAGGTCAAATATCACATGCAGCTGTCACATATGCAGCTGTTAATGCATTGGCAATATTAGGAACTAAAGAAGCATATGACTTAATTGATAGGTTGGTGGTCAAAAATGTTGATTCATTTGTTGATGGATAAATAAATTTTGATCATTATTTTTTTTTTTTTAAGAGAAAATCTTTATAAATGGTGTTTGAAATTAAAAAAACCAGATGGTTCATTTACTATGCATGAAAATGGAGAAGTTGATATACGGTAAGATAAATAAATAAAAATATTATTTTTATTTGTATTAATGATAGTTTCAATTTTAATTCTTAGTGGAGCATATTGTATCTTGTCTGTTGCCACACTGGTTAATATAATTACACCTGAATTAATTGAAGGAACAGCTGAATGGATAAAAAGGTAAGTTAGATATAAAAAAAAATTACTTAGTATGAGTACGTCATAATTAAGTTATGCAATTTTTATTTATTTATTTGTTTATTTAGAAGTCAAAATTTTGACGGTGGAATAGGTGGCGAGCCTGGCATTGAATCACATGGTGGTTATGCATTCTGTGGGCTTGCTGCCATGGAAATAATGAATGAAACCAATATGATTGACATTCCTTTACTTTTGGTGATTAAATTTTTTTTTGTTTTTGTTTAAATTATATTCTATTCATACAATATAGATTAACAAATATATTAATTATTAGCATTGGGCAACATCACTCCAAATGCAACTTGAAGGTGGATTTCAAGGTCGTCCAAATAAATTAGTGGACGGCTGCTATTCGTTTTGGGTTGGTGCGTTGTTTCCTTTAATAGAAGCAATATTAACTAGACAAATAGTTGAAAAGGATGATAAACCATCTAGTCATATTACTGGTATTTCTTGTAAAATTTTAATTTTTTCTTAAAGAAAAAAAAAAGGTGTCAAAAAAAAACTAATACTATAAAATTTTTTTATTTTTTCTTCAAGTCAGCCCTTTATTTGACAGAGGTATTAATTATTATTCTATTTATTTTATATTAATAATTATATTCATTACAATTTACCAAATTTTTTTTTTAAAAAATTTAAAAGAGGCACTCCAAGAATATATTTTAATTGCATGTCAATATAATAATGGAGGATTAGTTGATAAACCAACTCGTAGGCCTGATTATTATCATACATCTTATTGTTTAAGTGGTTTATCAACTGCACAACATCATATGGTTTACGATATTATAAAAGCAAAATCATTACAAGGCAAAACAACCCTTGATGCTTGTGCTAGATCTTTATTATGGTCTGATGACATTTTACAACGTGTTGTTTTAGGAAATCCAAAAAACATCGTGGTAAGATTATTTAATTAAAAAGTTAATTCGTTATTATTAATACTTCTTATATTATTACTATTACTAGTATTATTCCTATTATTGATTTTATTTTATTTATTTATTTATAAATTTAAAGAATGCGACACACCCTGTTCACAATATTACTGTACCAAAAGTTCACAATATCATTAATTATTTTAAAGACAAAAAATTATTTGATTAGAATTTTTTTGTCGTTTATTTTGTACAAAATATATCACTGTTAAAAATGTTATTCTTTTCAAAACGGACAATAATAGTTTGATTTTAAATGACGTCAATATGATTGATATACTATTTAATACAACATTTCTATAAGCTATAATTAAATCATTTGTTATATTATTTATATTAATTATTCAATCATGTTATATACATTTCCATAATTTCATTGTGATAGATAGTAAAGTATAATATAAATTAATAAAAGAAAAAATGTAAAGCGAGCATATCTATGTAGTAAAAAAAATCAATATCATTAATATAATTAAACTTTAATAAACAGTGACGTTTGAAAAGAATAGCTTAATAGTGATCGCCCAATATCTTATTAAAAGTTCTATTAGCTGGTAAATTTTTTACTAAATGAACAACTTCATTACCAATTTTACTTAATCCTGTAATTTTTTCAATATTTGTATTTTCTTTAATTCTGGAAGAGAATGCAAATGTAAAAGTATATCCAGCATCACACAATGATAATATTTTATATCCATTAGGAGTTGGATTAGTTTTAATTCTAAAAGTTTCAGCAGTTCTTCATGAAAATCTTGCAATCATTTCATCAATAGGAACATTTGATGCTGGTATATAAATAGATTCAGAAACCCTTTTAACTTGTTTAGCCAAAGGTTCAAGTTTTGGAAACCAAGTGGATTGACTATGTGTATCCTCATATGGGTTTGAAATATGAAAAAATCTTTTAATCTGATAAAAAATCAATTTTAGAGGTTTTTTAGTTAAAAACATACATGTGAGGCAATTAACTGTTGAAATCTGTATAGAGACATATGTTGGGTTATTTTATGTTTTGGAAATCTATCATCTGAATTCCAGTAATCATTAACAGATGGAAATTAAAAAGACCCGTATATATTAACAATGCTATCCAAATTTTCAATTCAGGAACAGTTAATGGATACCAGTCTCTTCCTGTTTCAACAAGTTGACTAAATATTTCATTTGCATAAAAATTGAAATTGGTGTCAAATTTGACAATAATCCTAATTCATGAGGCAATTTGATAATGGCGTCATGTAAACTGTGTGTATGCACCAATGGGTGAAAAGAAGGTGGTGGTGGAAAAGGATTAGAATCGTTTTGATTATTATTGTTATTTCTCATACTAGCTGCAGACTGCCTTCTGCTATCAATCACTTCCAAATCTTCGCTTAAAACTTCCACTTCATGTTCTTCATGTTCATTACGTTGAAAATAGATATTGAATTCATTTTCTTCATCTGCTTCAATAAAACCTTCATATTCATAATTATTAATGTTAGTAGAGCCCATTTTAATATTTTGATAATTAATTATTAATAACAATGCAAAAAAAAAAAAATTTTTTTTGATGTTAATATAAAATGATCAGCATTAGAAGAAAATTTTGTTCATTCACTTTGTGCAATTATTTTATGCAATAATCATTGTATGATGTTTGATTTTTTATTATTATGATAGTGGCATGATCTCAAAAATCATTTTTCACTTAGAAAATCATGTGTAAAAATTCATGTTAGATGTGTTCCATCATTGGAAATAAATTTGCAACATATTTGTTGCAAATACAATTTAAGGGATAATCATCATATTATAGTTTAATTCGTGATCCATGAAACATCTGCAAAATTTTCATAACAGAATTTGGCGCAAAATTTTGCAGATCACTAATTAAAATTCAAAGGGACTTTCTTATAAAATATTTATGTTTATATGTAGTGATCACTGGATTCCTGCCTAAAATTACTATATAAAATTTAAAGGTTTGAGTAAGCAACTAAAAATATTTATGATGTAAAAATGGTTGTAGAATTAATTTTATCAAAGAAAAATATAAATGTTATTTCTATTTAGTTTTTAATAGTTATTCTTTTTAAAATAAAATAAAAATTATCATGGTCATGTAATTTTCTTGACTCACATTGGTCACGTGAGGTAATGTCAGATTCTCAAATCCGTTAAATCTGTTAAATCAAGATAAAATAATTATAGAAAAATTTGGTTTTGAAAATTTATCCATTAAATCAAGACTCACTGTGTATTAACAGTCAGACAAGATTTCACATTTACTGATTTTACTATATGATCAACATAGCATGTTTTCTGTACAACAGACTTTGAAGGAAGAATTGGATACAAGATTATCAATAAACAATTTTTATGCTTCTAAATAAATAGAATCTTGTGCTTTTGTTCATTTAAATTCAATTTTTTACTTGT